TACATAATAATTTATAAACATGTCATTTATATAGACCCTTATAATAATCCAGGCAATGGATTACATACCTTGCGTACATCATCTCTGGGCTTCAACAACAATCCTGCTAAGTCAATATTACTGCCAAAATCTGGACAAGGCTTAAAGAAAGTAAATGACCTGCTTAGAACAATTAGCTAAGTGGTAGAACAAAAAGTAGTGGCTGGGGATTTAGCTCAGTGGTTTTGCTGCCTGCTGCACAAGTGCAAGGACCCAAGTTCGATCTCTGGTACCAAAAAAAAAAAGTAGAAGCCCGATCTACCTGCTCTAAAGTTCAGTGCTCAGAGTGAAGAGACAACCTACAGAAAATTTTTTGCCAGCTACTCCTCAGACAAAAGGCTAATATCTAGAATATATAAACACCGCCTGCTGCAGAAGCGCAAGGACCCGAGTTCCATCTCCGCTACCAAAAAAAAAAAAAAAAGTTAGAAGGGCCGGGGATTTAGCTCAGTGGTTCCGCTGCCTGCCTCGCAAGCACAAGGACCCGAGTTTGATCCCCAGCACCAAAAAAAAAAAAAAAAAAATGGGCATCTGAAACAAACAGACACTTCCTAGATGAAGAAGTGCAAACAGCCAATAAATACATGATAAAATACTCCACATCATTGGCCATTCAAAAAATGTAATTAAAATAACACTGAGATTCCATTTCACTCTTTTTTCCCCCTTTTTTCCATCTCACTCCAGAAAGAATGGCTATCATTAAGAAATCAACCAATAACAAATGCTGGCAAGGCTATCTATGTGTGTATGTGGGGGAAGTCTCCATTGCTGGTGGGAGTGTAAATAGGTACAACCACTGTGGAAATCAGTATGGAAGATTCCTCAGAAAATAAAACTACTTGGGAGGCTGAGGCAGGAGGATGGCCATGAATTCAAGGCCAGCCTGGGCTATACAGTAAATTTAAGGCAAGCTGGAACTGCACAGCGAGACTCTTATCTCAAACAAACAATCAAAAAATTAGAGGTTCCATTTGACCCAGCTATTTCTCTTCTAAGTATCTTCCTAAAAGAGTTAGTCATCATCCCACAGTGATATATGCATACTAATGTTTATAGCAGCATAATTTAACATAGCTAAATCTTGGAAACAGCCCATATGCCGATCAACAGATGAACAGATAAAGAATGTATCTATATACAATGACGTACTACTCTGCCATAAAGATAAACATTTTTAGGTAAATGGATACACCTTGCGACTATAATCCTAAGTGAAATAAATGTGCAAGTTCAGCTATCTCAATGTTTCTCTTGTGTGAGAAACCCAAAGTATAAATAATGATGAAAACAGAGGAAAGATATTAGGAAGTAGGAAGAACTTGTTCAAATGGGAAGGGGAACAAGAGATAAGGGAAGTGGGGAGGGAAGGAAGGGAAAGGGGATTTAAAGGGAAAAAAAGAATTGAAGAAAAAAATGGAAATAGAGGTTTTGGAAATGGGGAGGAGAAATACAGAGATAAACAGAATGTATGTGTGTAAGGAATTATACGTTGTTCTGTTTGGCTACAGGTATAGGGAGTAAAACTGGAGAGCAAACTGAAAATGAGAAAGATGTGTGGCTTGAAATGATAAGCTTTTTAGTTTATTTTCAACATTACTTAGCATCATTACATATTCTCTCTTTCCTTTTTCTGTCTCTCTTTCTCTCTTCCTGTATTCTCCCCAGGGTAGTATAGATGGTTATCTGGGGAGTGATGAAGATTAGAGTCAGAGATACTAGCTGGTGGACTTAAAACTACTCTGGAGAAAAACAATGAGTTCTAACTTCAAAAAAGTTCCACTATTTTGCTATAGTATAAATTATTACAAATTGTTAAAAACTTAAAAAATTAATTAGATAGTTTCAGCCAGGTGTGGTGGAGCACACCTGTAATCCCAGGACTTGGGAACTCTGTCAGGAGTATCCCTGTGTTTCAAGACAGCCTAAACTACATAGTGAGACCCTATCTCAAAAAAAATTAAAAAAAAGAAAAGAAAACCAAAATTAAAACAAATATTAAGTACTTCTTTCAAGAGTTTTGGGGTTAGTAAGGGTTTGCTGGGAGGGTGGTATGCACAAAGAAGGCATGGGAGCTCCTACTTTTCCCTCACCCTCAGTACCTTTACCTATGTATTTCTTTCATCTGATTGTTCCTAACTTCTAATCTATATAATAAACTAGTAAATATGAGGAAATTGGATTTAGCCTAAATGAAAACTGTCCTACCTCTAGGTTTTTTGGCCATTAAATTTTCTTCATTCTTTAGAAAAAAATAGGTACTTACTGATTTCTTATTAGGCTGGCTGCTGTCATATCCAGTGGTAACATCCCGTATGTGGAGGATAACAAATTCTCCACAAAATTTTGGATATTCCTTTGGAGAATCAAAATTGCGAAGCCTTTCAAATATATTTTTGATGGTAGGTGGATCATAACATAAGAAATACGAAGTTTTTGACATATGATAACCATATCTGGACAAGGATTTAAAGTGCTAAGGTTAGATTTCAGATAACTCTTTAGAAATGTACATATTAAAGATAAGCCTATTTTATAATATTTTGTAGGAAGTGGTAGTCCCTAATTCAGACAATTTAATGCTTTAAAAAAAAAAGATGAACCAATCCTCAAAAAAACAAATTTAGAAAACTAAGGATAAGGCCAAAACAACAACAACAACAACAAAAAAGAAAGATTGATCTAGCATGTGTATAACAGAACTTACTGTTCATAAACTTTAATCAGTTGCTGATTCAATGTTACATTCGTGGTCTCCAGGTAAGATGCCATCTCAGCAACAACAACAGATGCACTCACCCCATCTTTATCCAAAACCGAAGTTCCACACAGAAAACCTGAGAATTAAAAAATGTCTTTAGAAAAGGGAAACATTTAAGCCTATAATTTTAGTAGTTTTACATTTATTCAGAAGAAAAAGTGAATTTAAGAGCCTAGAAATAGATGAAATCCATTAATATTGAACATATTTAGGGAGCCTTTAGGTTCAGTTTTTTTGTCTGATGAGAAATGTACTACATCTTTTTGAGTTCTCTGCAGTTTTTACAACTCAAAATATAAAACCTAAAAAATTGCTCTCAATTAAATTTTTAAAAATGTAATATTTACTACATACCTATAGACTCTTCAAATGCAAAAAGGACCTCTTTTCCACTTTCCAGAAGGTTTTTTATCCTACTTCCAATCCATTTAAAACCTGGTAATGTTTCCTGAAATGCAGAGGAAGCTACTCTGTCATAACCATGTTAGAGAAAAACTTATCCCTAAATGCACATAACACTTATATAATGATCTTCTATTTTGATCTTTAGTCCACAAAGATTATATAATGATACACCAATCAGTAATAAAGTGCCTAAATTCACACTGCCACTACCGACGATCTACTATTTACACAGCATATTAAAAGATGATGTACATAAAATATAATCCAATATTTATTAGTGATGATGAATATAGTTACAAAGTGATATGTTGTTATTATCTATTGGTTCTTAAGTACTACAATAGGTGCTTTACATCATCTTTTCTAATACTCACAAACATTGCTGCCAAAACAAGAGGCTCAGGGGTGAAGTAAATTTGCCCAAGGTGCTGTGTGTGAGAGATGGAGGCAGGGTTCAATTACATTGCTTCCCAAAAACTGCTCTTTAAACTATATTATAACCACTAATATAGACTGCTTATGAAGGATATGATTTAGTCTTCCTAATAATCAAAAGCCACTAGGTTTGCAGTGATGCTTGAGCCAAGTGTACCTTTCCATAACACTGTGGCCTAAATAAAATCACCAAGACAGTCACGAAGGCCCTTCTTAGTAATTAGATGTGAGGTCTTTACATTTCATGAACTACTATTCACTTTATAACATGCCCTGAAGTTTCCTAATTCACTTCTTTACTCTTTCAACAAAATATGAAAATAAAAAGGCTAAGAAATCTACTGCCAACAATAAAAAATAATTTTATAATATACTTGTTTTTACAAGTATGTTTTTTCTTTTGTGCTCAAAATGTATTTTCTTGCCATAGATATAAATAAGGAAAACATTAACATCATTGTAATTAAGCTTGAATGAATTTAATATCTTACATTTTCTTAAAACATTTTGTTTTGAGAGTCTAAGATTGAAATCTATATTTCATAAAGACAAGCACAATTTTCTTTTACTAGCCAACTAGTGTTAAGATCTGCAGTTTGAATATAGCTCAAGAAAAATGCCTAAGTATGACACTTTCATTGATATTTAGCAAAGATGGCAGAGAAAAAGCAATTTAATTGGCATTTGTCCAAGTGGCTGCAAAAATGGTCAGCTTAACTGCCTGAGGTTCTCAAAGCCTACTTATCTGGGCTGAGTGTCTACTTCTTTTTCCATGTGGATTCACTAGATCTTAATTTGCAATTTAGAAATCTATTTGAAGTTCTTAATACTGTGCTCACAGAGTCACAAAAGGTGAGTGACATCATTAGGCTTTTGGAAATGAGGTCACCAGGAGCCAGATTTTCCCAGCTTGAAAACTAGATATTGCCATATGGACTAGCAAGTGTTAATGAAATTTCTGAAGAATATCTCAGTCAAAAATTCACATATGAAGTGAATTTGGCTCAGGGTGTCTAAATTATCAAAAATAGTTAGCAAGTGTTAACAGAATTAGGAAAAGTAAGGGAATTATAAATGAAATCAATGGAAATTAGTTTGGGTGGAAAGATGTCTTTAGCCTATAAATATGTATAGGTTCAGAAAAGTACCACACAGATAGTATCTATTCTTACTTCAAAATGAAATCCTTCTTCAAGCGCAATTGCCTTCAAAATTTTAGAAGAGACAGTAGTGGCTAGCATATAAACATTCTTCACATCAGCATTTGTTGATTTATTTTTTTTCCAGCAATCAAACATCCACCATCCAAACAAAGCTGCCAACTCATTTCCTGTGAAAACTTTCCAATGACCACTGCAGAGAGAATGCAAATTCAGTCAATACCTTTCTAGCTTCTCATTAAAACTTCTGACTCAAAGACATACAAATTACCATCATTCAGACAGGAAAGATCAAAATCCATTACACTAGACTTTTCAGAAAATACTACTACTACTTTTCTAATTGATCGGTAATGACCATTAGGGTAGAAATGGTTGTAATGTCCTTTGGAAAATTATTACAATGTTACTTTTATTCTCCTACTTAATGAGACAAACATTATAAAAAATGTTTAAATCTTTATGTAAGGACACCCATCATATCATAATGGCAAAATACATAACAAACCAGAGGACCAAGATTAGGAAATGATTTATATTGATGAAGTAATCTATTAGAATATTATGCTGTTTTTAAAATTAGTATTTTCAAAAAAACATAATAAAGCCAGGGAAAATGCTTAGAGTACAACTGAAGTGGAAAATAATCAAGACATAAAACTGTATATAACATGATTATAATTTTATAAAAATATATGCATCTTTATTTGAGTAGGAAAAAGTAAGAAATGTTGAAATATCAACTTAGGTGATTATTACTAAATGGTAGGGTTATATAGGATTTATGTTCTTTTCTAACATCTTTACTATTTTCAATAAACCTATAAGACTTATAATGAAAAAAACCAAACTTGCCGGGGATTTAGTTTAGTGGTTCTGCCACCTGACTTGAAAGCATGAGGTCCTGAGTTCAATCCCCGGTACCCAAAAAAACCAAAAAACCAAAAAACCAAACTGCTTTTAAAAGCTCAAGCTTCTTTTTTTTTCAGTGTTGAGGATCACAAAAAGGGCCTTATCCATGCTAGTCAGGTGCTTGACCACTGAGCTGCACCTCGAAGCTCAAGCTTTTAATCAGACAATAGGTTCTACTTACCTCTCTTGAAGTTCTGCCACTGCTAGTCGGTCTGCATCAGGATCTGTAGCAAGAACTACCCGTGCATTTTCTCTTTCTGCCAGTCTCAGAGAAAGCTCCTGAAACAATGACCCCCAAAATCTGGATTGTACTGAAGAACTTAAATTCAATCTTAATATTCCTAAATGTAGGAACTATGTTAGTATGAATCATAGAAGGCCTACAGTTTGGCTAAATTTAAAATAATTAAGCCTAGAAGTAGGTATACCCACCACAGAGATTGCAAACAAAAACCTATGGTACCAAAATAATTTAAAAGATAAAACTTACAGTGGTTTCTGCTGTTTTAAGGAACTGAATTATAAGTAAGTTCTATCTATTCTGATGGATTTTTAATGGTTTAAAAATTAAAATTAATAACAGTTTATTAGAAAAATACCAGCACAGATTCTCCTTCTTCAGGATTTGGGCATTTAACAGTAGAAAAGTCTGGATCAGGATCTTTTTGTTCTGGTACTGGAATTGGAGGCTTAAAACCAAATGTTTGAAAAGCCAACTGCACATAGTCATGTCCGACCCCATGAAACGACGTATGCACAAATTTCAAAGTAGTCTTTGAGTTTAATTCCCTGTAAAGGAAAATAAAGTCACCATTCAATCAATATCATAAAGTCTATTATTGTCATATAATTAAAAACACTTAAATTCTGAGAAAAAATGATTAAAGTCTTTAGTAAAGACCTATGATATTTTTTTTAAAAACTATGCTGTATAAACTTAAATTTCAAAAGATTAAATAAACTATTTTCCCATTATGGTTCAATTTCTTCTTCTTCTTTTTTTTTTTGAACCAGGGAACAAACTCAGGGGCACTCTACTTCTGAGCTACACTCTCATTCATTCTCTTTTTAAAAATATTTTATTTTGAGGCAGAGTCTCACTAAGCTGCCTCTGCAGGACTGAAATTGCGATCCTCCTGACTCAGCCTCCCAAGTGCTGGGATTACAGATGTGCACCAATGCATCCAGCTGCAGTTCAACTTCTTGAACCGGATCACTTCTCTACATATGCAGTGCCATTGCCCTAACCAAACCTCCATTGTATCCCTTACCAGAACCATCACAGAAACTTCCTAACTGTTCTTTTTCATTTTCTGCAAATCTTTGTTTATTCTTTTTATGTCTAGCTTAGATTCCAAGGTACTTAATTTCTTTTTCTATTGCAATACTGGGGATTGAACCCAGGAAACACTACCTGTCTATATCCCCAGCCTTTCTCATTTATTAGTTTGAATCCGAGTCTTGCTAAGTTACCCAAGCTTGCTTTAAACTTGTGATCCTTCTGCCTCAGCCTGCTGAGTAACTGGGGTTATGTACCACTGTGCCTGGCAATACTTAATTTCAATCACTTTTTATGTCACTTTGGTTACCTTGACTTACCAATACTTTAGCCCTTGTTAACTCTACCAAGTACTTTTATTAGACCAGCACCAAAATAGCTAAATACTGATAGAGTAAATCTTTTTTTTCCCCCATTAACTTTATTGGTACATTTTAGGTATAAAATACAGTTACATTCATCATTGGGCTCTTGTACCATTACATGAGTCTCTTGGTTCTTATTCTTTTCCCCTTCCCTTGCCCTCCCTTCACCCCCTCCACCCTTCCCTATTTGCAAAGACCTTGTTTCCATTTTTTTCCTCTTCTCATATTTTTCCTTTCCCCACCCCTCCCAATTCCCCTGCTTACTTGATAGAGTAAATCTTACAAAAGGATTAGTCACTGACATTCAATACTGTCAGGCAATCCTATTTGTTACACAAAAAGATTATTTTTTCACTCTCTAAAATGGTGTGTATCTTTTCCTCTCTCCTTATTCTTTTTCTTCTTTCACCTAAGACACAGAAGCTGTCTCATAGGAATGTCCTAATCTTCCCACACCAAATCTACAATCCACTAGCACGCATACACATCTTTTCTTTGTTCTATCGGACAACAGTGAGGAAATGTTTCTCCTTTCAGAGAGGAGTCCCTCCACTTCTGCTCTGATCCTCATCTTTATTCACTCAAAAATTTTAGTATTTTAGTTACTTTCTTCCAAGCAAAACTTTCTACATCCTTATCTACCATTTACTAAGCTCTGTCTATAATAAATAAAATTAATTAATATAAAATAAATAATAAAATTTTAAATTATTATGAAAAAATTTCAAAATACACATATAAGAATAATCAATACCTATGTATCCATTACCTTCCTTCAACATTTGTCAACATTCTATCAATCTAATTTCATTTATTCAAGATATATTGTTTTACATAAAAATGTTTTAGTATTTAAAAACACAACCATAATACCTTTGTCAAAAAAATAATAATACACTCCTGTTCAATATAATTCTGGAAACATTAGCCACAGCAATTAGACATGAGAAAGAAATAAAAGGAATAAAGATAGGAAAGGAAGAAGTTAAACTGTCATTATTTGCTGACGACATGATACTCTCCATAGAAGACCCAAAAAACTCCACCAAAAAACTTCTAGACTTAATTGACAGATTCAGTAGAGTAGCTGGATTCACGGTCAATGCACAAAAATCAATAGCCTTCTTGTACACAAACAACCGACTCACTGAGAGAGAAATTAGGGAAACAATTCCTTTTACAATAGCATCCAAAAAAATGAAATCTCTAGGAATCAATCTAATGAAGGAAGCAAAAGATCTCTGCATTGAAAACTACAGCACTCTGTAAAAAGAGATCAAAGAGGATATAAGAAAAATCTACATTGAAAACTACAGCACTCTGAAAAAAATGATGGAAGAGGATGTAAGAAAATGGAAAGTCAGCACTTGTTTCTGGTAGGAAGAGCCAATATAGTGAAAATGGCCATACTTCCAAAACTGCTATATAGATTCATGCAATCCCAATTGAAATCCCAACAGTATATTTCACAGAACTAGAGAAAACAATCCAAAAATTCATTTGAAACCAGAAGAGACCTAGAATAGCAAAAGCAATTGTAGACAACAGAGACATGACAGGGGGTATCACAATCCCCAACTTGAAACTATACTACAAAGCTACTGTGATAAAACAGCATGGTACTGGCAAAGAAACAGATCTGAGGATCAGTGGAATAGATTAGAAGATGCAGAAACAACTCCAGACATACTCAGCCACCTCATCTTTGACAAAGGAGTCAACCATCCTCACTGGAGGAAAGATAGCCTCTTTGATTAATGGTGCTGGAAAAACTGGATTTCAACCCGCCAAAGATTAAAACTAGACCCATATCCATCAACATGCACTAAACTAAAATGGAAGTGGATTAAAGATCTAAATATTAAAATAGAAACACTAAACTTGCTGGAAGATAAGATAGGTAGAACTCTCAAAGACATTGATTGGTATAGGAAAGGACTTTATGAACAAAACCTCAGTTGCCCATGAAGTTGCACAAGAATCAATGAGTGGGATCTCATCTTATTAAAAAGCTTCTGCACTGCAAGAGAAACCACCAACAGAGCTAAGAGACAACCTACAATGTGGGAAATATTTTTATCAGCTGTTCCTCAGACAAAGGACTACTATCTAGAATATATGAAGAACTTAAAAAAGCCAGAACGCCCAAATTTAAAGACCCAATCCAAAAATGGGCATCTGAAATGAACAGACATTTCTCAGACAAAGAAGTAAAAGCAGCAAATAAACCAATGAAAAAATGTTCAACATCACTGGTCATTTGAGAGACGCACATGAAAACAACACTGAGATTCCACCTCACTCCAGAAAGAATGGCTACGATCAAGAAATCCACCAATAACAAATGCTGACGGGGTTGTGGGGAAAAAGGAACCCTTCCCCATTGTTGGTGGGAGTGCAGACTGGTGCAACACCACTGTGGAAATCAATACGGAGATATCTCAAAAAACTAGGATTAGAGGTCCCATTTGACCCAGCTATTCCTCTGCTGGGTATCTTCCCAAAAGAATTAAAAGAATCATACCACAGCGATATATGCACACCTATGTTTATAGCAGCACAGTTGGTAATAGCTAAAGCTTGGAAACAGCCCAATTGCCCATCAACTGGAGACTGGATAAAGAAGATGTGGTTTTTTTATAAAGTGGAGTACTACTCAGACATAAAGAACAAGAAACCAGAGCCATTTATAGCTAAATGCATGCACATTGATGCCATACTCTTAAGTGAAATAAATAGGACACGCATATGTAAATACAGAATAGTTTCTGTGGTGTGAGGAACTGAAAGTGTAAATAAGGATTAAAATGAATAATTGATAATGTGAAATAGGAAGAAAAGGTCTAAAGGGGTTGGGGAAGTGGGAGGGGTAGGGGAAAGGAAAAATATGAGAAAAGGAAAATGGAAACAAAGTCTCTGTAAATAGGGAGGGGTAGAAGGATTGAAGGGAGGGCAGGGGAATGCGGAAAAGATAAGAACCAAGATACATCATGTAAGGTACAAGTTCCCAATGATGAATGTAAATGTATACCTAAAATATACCAATAAACTTAATAGAAAACAATTATTACTGTTGTTTTTGCTTTTTGGGAGAGTCTTGCTATATAATTCAGGCTGGCTTTGAACTCACTATGTAGCCCAGGTTGGCCTCAAACTCTTAGTGATTGTCCTGCCTCAGCCTCCTGAGTACTGGGATTACAGACATGGGGCACCATGCCCAGCAATAATTGTTTAATTGTCTAATACTCTATCTGTGTTCAAAGGACTCAGAAATGCTTTTAACAGTTGGTTTACTTGAGTCAGGATGTGAATAAGGTCTACATCATCTGGTTGTTTTGGATCTCAAGTCTCTTTCTTACTCTATGTTTTTCCCTGCTTTCTTAGAAACTAAACCATTTGTGCTGAAGAATTCCACCATGTTAACAGATTACATGCTTTTAGTGTTAGAATGTTCCTTTCACCCATTTGTTTTTCTTTTTTTTGGTAGACAGGTAGTTGAATCTAAAGATAAGAGGATTAGGTTCAATTACAAATCTTTAGGCAAGAATAGGTAGTATATATTTTCTATTGAATCACAAGGGGAGGCACATAATGTCAAGCCTACTTTTAATGGTATTAAATTAAGATTCATCAGTTTTGTTATTCTGATCTATCCATCATAAAATTTCCCATCATCTTTTTACCTATGTGTCTTAATAGCCCTTCATGATCATTGCTTAGATACATTATTTATTGGAGATCACAAAATAATGGTGTTTCAATTATATTATTCCTTCTGCATTTAATAGCTGGATTCAGAAATTATTTAATTAACTCAAATTCAGTTCATATAGGACAGGCAGATTAAGAGAAAGAGTCAATCTTTTATCAATTTGAAAAATGAAAATTCAGCATTTATAAAATTTCAGAATGAGTAATTATCAGTCTAACAACTCCCTAAGGTGATCAATAAAGTGTTTTTTAGAATTACTATAAGCCATGGGCTTTTTATGTTTAATGTCTTAGTTCATCACAGTGATTATTCTTTTTGATGCTCAACTGTCCGATGTTTGGTTAGCAGGAGTCTCTTCAGCTATATTCCTATATTCCTTTGATATGATTCAAGTATCTCTCAGTATCTTTGACAGCTTTCTTAACTTAAGTCA